CTGTTTTAATTACAGCACCACCTGTCCAGGACCACCAAGAACCAAACTGGTTCTTTTTGCTTGTAATCAGAAAAAAAGACAAATAACAAAATTTATTTATTTACAGTTTTCTTTTTTTTTTCCCCAGCCGTGGTTTGGCAGAGACAGGAATGCAAGCTGAACATGCATTACGACTCCGGGTTCATGTTATACTCGGCCAACACAGAGAACGACAGCAACAAACCCAACCTTCTGTGGCATCAACCGTTTGAGAAGCTGCGCATGTCCGCAGATGATGGTCATCGCTTGTTGTGGTTGGACTTTGGAGATGGAGGTGAACAGGTGCATATATATATATTTTTTTATTCATCTTTTTAGAGACTTGCATTTTTTTCCAGATATTTAGGTGAAGGTGCTTTGAATAACTTTTTTTCACTTTTAAAGCTTTTTCTCAATGTAAAGGTGGCAATAATGCTGTCCGTAGTTTGAAACCAAGAAAAAATCAGTTGAAAAACATTCTGTAAAGATTGTATTTTTAGAATGTGTAAAAGATGTACCTTACTTACAAGTTGTGTATGTGGTTTATACTTTGTGGAACATGTACTTGTGTGTGACATGTGTGTGTGCAAGCTACACCATGACTAGATCTTCTGTTTTTCTGATCTGACATGGTACAAAATAAAGTGTAATCAGATAAAAATAGTTAATTTTGTTCTTCAGGAGCTGGATCTACAGAGCTGTCCCAAACCTTTGGTTTTTATCCTTCACACATTCTTGTCTTCAAAAGTCAGTAGACTGGGCCTGGTGGCATAACCTGGTGGTGTAACCCTGGCAACAGTCACCGAGCAACATGGCTGTAGTTATGGCAATCCTTGTTTTCTATACTCTTAGTAGACTAGTGAAAAGAAATGAATATTTTCTTTGAAGAAATCTTGTCTCAGTCGACACTTTATCACAATATCAGTCTATTATGTGATGGGGGTCAAGGTCATACTAAGGTCAAGGTCAGTTTCAACCACACCTTAGTGCTGAAACTGTTTATTAAAGGGACTGTGGTTGAAAATCGGCAAACAACATCCAAAGAAGGGCTTATTTTAAAACAAAATAGGACCCTGATTATGAAGAATTTCTAAAAGCCTATAGGTTTTAATGCAGACTATCTAGTCTTGTACAACTCGGTCATACCATATATGTTACAATTGTGAAAGTGGTACATAAGTGGTACATAAAATGTATGTAGTTTGTAGTCTTTCTGCAAACATTATTTTGCTGTCAGAGGAACTGTTTTAATATAATTATGTATACATATGAATTTTACAGTAGATGAGAGAAAAAGATTATGTATGCCATTTGCTGCAAAGAAAATAAAATATCTTTGTAGAATCATTGCCAAAGTTTGTGGGGATCCTGCTGAAATGGTTACCATGGTTACAACACTGGAAACCGCCAAGCCAAACTCAGCTGCACAGTGATGCAAATAAAAAACTTGTAAATAGTAGACAAAGTGATGGTCAGTTTTCATGATTATCTCACTTGCAGAGAGACTGGTTGTTGGGCTTACCTGGCTGGTTGCTATGGTAACTAGCTGAAAGCAACAGTCCAAATATGGTCATCACTTAATTTTTAGCTGGTTTAGATTGTTGTTTTGCAGTGTCATGATAATATAGGTCATTGATACAGATGGTGTTTAGCAATAATTTGCTACACAAATAATGATATGCTTCGAGTTCCCACCAAATTTATGTGTAGTGATTTATTTTTTCATTTTTTTTTCACTTCGAGTAGTTTGTCAGTGGTAAATTTGCAGCGGATTTTTAGATAAAATTTCTTTTTAAGATAAAGATAAGTTTACGTCACGACAGTGTATTTATTTATTTTCAAATAAACCCAGGGGCAATTACGAAGTATGTTTTAGTACCAGTGACACTGGTTTTACACTTCGTGTAGTAAACATATGGGACTAGTCCAACACGTGTCAGTTCGCCAAATAAGGCACCTCAGTGTTAGAGTTTCAAGAAGTATTTAACAGTATTATTTATGGAATATTTTAGATAGATTTGGTGCAATAACTTGCAGACTATTCATGCAGGAAACTGAGGTCATCAAAGCAAATGTGAAACTTGCGTTAAGTGTCAGTCCTCATGCCTGTAAAATAGCGAGTAAAGAATTGATGATAATTTCACGAATTATTAATTGTTACATGAAAGTGATTATGAACAGATTTATCCTCTTGTTCTTGTTTGCATAAAAACACAGAATTACAGTTGATAAGGGAGAGACTTAATGTCAAATGTTTTAGAAAAATTTTAAATCATGATATGCCATTACCAGAGCAATGTGAAATGTTAGCATTAGATTTCATTCATTTATAGTGGTGGAAATTGGGATATTTGGTGAGGGAGGCATTTTCTGTCCATTTTGTCAGTTGTTAGTACAATCGAGGGGTTAATATACAATCATGAAGTAATATTGATCAATACGTAGTCCACTCAGTATTTTTATGTTTATGTCAAGACCGTATCAATTCATTTGGGTTCATTCTTCCCATCTTTTTTTCTAAGGGAATGGGTAATCCCCAATATAAACAGTGAAAAAAAAACTTGCAGTGAATTATTTAGCATGTCATGAGATACACTTTACACTATTGTAAAGAATGTCACAAACTGTTATTTTATTTATTCATTTTAATGACATATGGTATTGTTAACAGGGGACATTCGTTAATGCCCAGACATTACTCACAGTTCATGGATGTGAATTTCTCTTTTTTTTCTTTTTTTTTTTTTTTAAAGAGAAAAGGAAGCTGAAAAAATGCACAGTTTAGAATGGGATTATGTCCAAATTGATTATGGGAGGGGTCCAGATTTTCATTTAATCAACTTCCTCTGTTCTCATCCTTCACTATTACTCAATGGTTAATGTGATACAAGCGGTTGTTGCAAAGTCCTGCCCTTAAGCAAAAGTTCAACTAATAAATTCAGTTATAATTAAAATCCACTCCTATTCGACCTTACCAAGGTGGTAGTCTTTTTATTTTATTTTTTCCTTCTCATTTAATTTTATGTAAATGTAAACTTTATTAATAAAGGCAGCACATACAAATTATGTTTACTCAAATAAGATACAAGCATAAATTAGGATTTTTAATTTACATTTAAGTGTAGTTATAATATTATTGATTTATGTATAAAATGGGCAAGGGATAATAGAAGTGAATCAGATATTTGTTTTAATGTAATTATATTTTAGTATATCTTTTAAATTCAGAAATGCACTGAGAACACAGTGGAGATCATGGCTTGCAAATCAGCACAAAACTTACTCAAAGTTAAAAAAAAAAAAAACTACTATAAGATATTTCAAGGGAACTTGGACCATAATTTTTCATTTGAACTGGTCGAACCTTGCATTTGACACATTTTGTTGATTTCTTTATCATTTAAATGTTTGTACTATTTTATAGAGAAGGGTTTAATATTTATGTTTTCCCGTCTTTGCCATTGGGCATCTATCAGTGATTTTATCATTATGAAAATCTTTCAATGCCTGCATGTTATAAATGAAACAAAATGTACAGAGGCCCCCGTCCTGGACACTTTTGGTCTAATAAAGATATTATCAATGGTATTACATGTTTTAAATGTCTTTTGTCGTTTTTCTGGTCAATATTCCAAATACTGGTATAGAGCTCTTGCTAAAGTACAACACCAATTTTTATGTACGAACACGCCGTGTGTATCTCCCCTCCCCCCCCCCCTCCCCCCCAACTCTCCTTGCCAACACCATGCCAATTGTGCATTTATTAAAGTAACTCCAGATTGCAGGCTCAAAGCCAGCAATTTCAAAGGAGTTTTGTTTTTTCCAAAAAAGTGAACCTTTTACCGAGAAAGCTTCGTGTACAAAGACACCCCCCCCCCCCCCCACTCAGCCACGGGCCTGTATTGAAACCAGCAAAGCATTTATGCTTTCAAAAGTGCCGTTTGACAAAGAACAAAGAGACAACTTGATGACAATGGGCTTGACGTTATGAACGTGTTTAATAAAGTGTAGCAAGTTGTAAACGTGTCTCAGAATCGTGCATGCTTGCTGCCCCCCCCCCCCCCCCACCACACACACACACACACACATACACACACACACACACTCCGGACTCCGGGGCCTTTAGTTTGTCTACACTCGACCACAAAGTTCAGAAACATCGTTATTTTGAATAATTACAAAATAACCATATGAGATACAGTAAATTTTTTAACCAAATATTGATGGATGATGCACCCACCATTCGTAACTTTTTTGGTCGAGGGTAGTTCTAAATACGCAAATGGAGACAGTAGTGGTCGAAAAGTAGTGGTAGAACATGGGTTAAATTTTAAGGTACACATAAACATCAAAAATTCTGCTGTCTTGTTGGCAAATTTCAGTTTGCCACTCTAATGACATTTACAAATAATTACTACAACAGAAATATGAAATTTTTATATATTTAATTACCTTCATCGGTGTCTGTACACATTGCTTTTAGTCACGCCATTACTATCCGATCAGAAATTATTAATGCATTTCACCGGGATACAATTCATCATCAAACGTTTTTTTTTTTCAAATGACCACGTATTTTATATTATCTATGTCACTATTATCAACGGAGATACAGAAGAAAGTGGACGCGTTTCAAAATCATTAGTACCAAGGAGTTATAACTCCTTGTTAGTACTTTGCATTTGACTAGGCGATATAGAACATTTCAGTTTGTATTACTTCACAAAATGAATCTGCAGGCACTGTATGACACAATGACGCTTTTTCTTTTCGCTGTGATTAACCCAGCACCTTGCATTGCTTTACAAGAAATGCTTTTTCAAAAAGAAGATGGTTTCAGATTGGCCAACGGCTCTTTCAGTGGTGCGCCGCCGGCAGCTTATCACGTAGAATCAAAATCACATTGCGCCTTCGTCTGTCTAAACCTAGGACTTGCGAAGTGCCTCTCTGCAAACTACCATAAGGAGAGTAGTATTTGTGAAATGAATGACAAGACGATCCACGATGACGATCGGACTGTTCCTGTTGCTGACAGTGGCTGGGTTTATCTAAACCCAAATCTAGGTAAGTCGACAAAGTGATAATTCCTTTTTATATAAGTAGATCCATATCTTTACTTATTTACTGGTTATATTCAATTATCTCTTTAGTTTTCAATATTATCCAGATCAAAAGGTCTTTCTGAAAAATTATTTTTAACAAGCCGTCGAAACATTATTATTATTATCATTATTATTATTAAGAGTCTGAAATCCAATCTGTTCGGTAGACTTTACAATGCAATGTGAATAAAGGATTTATGAAAGCCTAGTAAAAGAAAAGAAAAAATTGTTTTAAACAAATCGATTTAAATAATATAGAATAATAGGGGTTAATTCATCAAATCCCTTTAAAAAGTTATAAATAAAAAATGTATTCATAAAAAGATGTCTTGAACTCCCTTTTAAAACTGTCCAGATGGGCTATCCTGTGTAGTAAATGTGGAAGTAAATTCCATTCCTTTGGTGCAGCACCTTTATAAGAATCTTCACCGTTTGTAACAAGTCTAGCTTTACATGGTGTTAAAAGCAAATGTCCAGGAGAGTGTAACCATTTTTAGGGGAATTTTAAATCAGACATACATTTCAACCGAGCGTGCATTCCCAGTAACGCATATTTATAAACCGCTTCTACTAGTTAGGCCACACTTTTTTAATTTTATGGATGACATCCTGCGCGCGCACGGATTTTCGCCCGTTCTCCAAAAAAAAAAAAAAAAAAANACCGATTTTGGGGTACCCAGAGGATGTCATCCATAAAAATAAAAAAGTGTGGCCTTACTAACACGACTCAAATTAAGTCGACATGCCAAGGGATAAACCGAATAAATCACTTCGTTCAAAGATCACTTTTCGGGCAAAAAATGAAACGATATCCTTTGGTATTTGTCTAAGTAATAGTATTTGAAACTATATGGCGGCATTTGGTAGGGAAGATGCAGAAGATACAGACACTGTTATGCTTACTTTTGCTTGACAGTGGACACAAGTATGTGATAGGTTAGATATTTATTGTATAATACATACAGAAACTGGAAATTTTAGTATGAATTTTCAAAGAAAAAGCAATTTTTCAGGGGTGGTTGGGTGAAGGATGTGCGTTTTGAAGGCAAACCGTTTTAACGTTAAACTTAAAATCAAAATTAATACATAAATTTGTTAATTTGTAGGTCCACCACAATCACCGGCCATTTTATCCATTACCCAAACGCAGCTCTACACCATATTGGTCACCTGGGTGGCAGGCCATGATGGCGGCTTTGACCAAACCTTTACCCTAGACATAAAGGAGGCTAGTGATGACGATAGTAACTACGTCACCAAACTGACCTTGGCCGACCCAGGTTACCGCAATAATGTGACGTCACTTCTAGCAGATCTAAAAATTGACGTTAATTACGCATTAAAGCTGACGTCAACCAGTACCAAGCCCGTAGGGGTCAACAACGCATCGGTAACATCCAAGTTCACAAATGGTAAGTTCTCGGCATTTTGTCTGACTCTTGACTATTAAGTGGTTTAAGAGATGAATTAAGAGACTGATTAAAATGGACATTTTCGCAAATGTTGACGAACTCGAAATACTTAAAGTAGTAGACTTGTTTTATGTTGTCGTTTTCACGTGTGATGTTACAATGTGATAGGTGTGGTTTCTTTAACTTTATACCATGCATTCCGTTTTACCGGTACTAGTACACCAATAAACTTTTAAAAGTTATCAATTGATGTGTCTCGTTTTCAAAATTCGTGATCATGTAACAAAACAGTTAAAGGGGTAATAACTGTTCCTTTTGGCCAAAAAAATGAATTTTCCTGGAGTAAACAACAATTTTCCATACTTACAATGGTTAATGAATCCTGTCTACATTCAAAGTTAGTCCCTGATTTTTTTCTAAAAAGTTTTTTTTTTTTTTGTACTAATCTCTTAAGAGATTATTACAGAATATAGCCATCTATGGATGGCAGGCTCAGATATCGGAATAATAGCTATAACTGCTGTTTTTGTGGTAAAATAGAATATATTATATTTCTATGAGATGTTTACAATGTTTTTGTTGTGAAATATAGATATCATACGAAGATCGAGTTATTATCCCTTTAAACACTGTGTCTCGACCACTGCTTGGTTATGTTCGACTCGCCCAAAGTCAACAATTGTATTTTCTTATATATAATATTTTATTATCTTATTAGAAGGCAGAAAGGACTGTGCACAACTCTACAGGAGTGGTGTGATGAGGAACGGAGTGTATCAGATTCTCCCGGCAGACAGTGCAGATTCATTTGAAGTCTTCTGTGACATGACCACTGATGGAGGAGGATGGACGGTAATACTTGAATTTTAACTTTTATTGATTAACCTTGTATTAATTATGTATTCGTTAAGTCATCATCATTTCTGTATTTGTTATTGTTTTTATATATATTTTGATTTTCTAGTGGGCTTTTTTTTTTCGGAAACTGTCAAGTCATCACGTTAAGGGTTTTAATTAAAGATGCATACAAAGTCAAATTTTTGTCACAAAAACGGAACAAATGCCAGCATATAGTTTCATGTAGTATAAATAAGAGATTTACCAAAAGGCATTGTTTAATTTTACCCAAAAATGATGTTTGAACAGATTTTTCTGTTAGCATTCTATGCTGATTTTCAATGGGGCAGAAAAGTAGGTCACAAAAGTAGGTTAAATTTCCAACCAAAAATTTAAAAAAAGGAGCAGTCTAAAGCTCTTTTATAGCTGATCGAGTGATCTATTCAGTTTATCCCTTGGCATTTCGAGTTTATTTGAGTCGTATATGAAACTAGTATAAGTGGTTTACATGTGTTACTGGGAATCCACGCTCCACCGATGCTCGATTCGTATGTACCTTTAAGGACAGTTGGGCCTATGATTAATTTTTTCTTTCTATTTAAACACATAAAACATGAGAAAATTAATCGCATCGGAAATATTTTTATTCTTTTTACCTTTCAGTTGTTCCAGAAACGCATGGACGGTTCCGTGGACTTCTACAGAGACTGGAATGACTACAAACATGGCTTTGAAAATCTGAGCGGGGAACATTGGCTAGGTATATCAAATTTTGAATGAGAAAACTGCTAATAGGTTTAATAAGCCTTATTTGTGCACTAGCATTTAATTGCACCCAAAATATGTCCAATTTAAAGATTCGATAAAATTTAAAGATTCGATAAAATTGGTGCCATACTATTTACCTCTATAGACCTAATAATTTGTAAGATAATTTATAATTAGACCTAATTTTTGTCATCTCTACGTATTAAAATATTCTCACCTATAGTTCCTTTAATAACTCTATTTTTTAACACTAGTCATTGGTCAGAACATACCAATATGTCCAAAACCATACACACTTAATTCACAAAGATGAATGAACACATGCAAATGCTTTGTCTCAGTCAAAGATTGGTTTACCTTAATGTCTACCTAAATGTCGCCCTATCCCAGGTAATAACAAGATGTATCTTCTCACCTCCCAAGACGACTATGAGCTGCGTGTCGACATGGAAGGCGCTGCAGGCATTTGGGCCTTCGCCCAATACGACCACTTTGGCATCTCATCGGAAGCGACAAAATACCGTCTAAGATTGGGAAATTATTCTGGAAACGCGGGTGAGTACCTGTAATAAGTGCTTGTATAAATATGGTAATAAAGACAACCTAAGACGAAATCACTGTAACATTAATTGGCAGCATGCCGACGAGAAGCTACGCCGAATGGAAAAGTAATGTCGCAGTGGTCCAGTTTGACAACAAGTCGCAAGCATTATCGTAAAACACCCCAATGTCTCCAAAAAAGCCATTCTATGATTTTTTTCCTTAATGCTTTAAACACAACCTGTAAAAAAAGAATCTTATTCACAACCGCATGAACAGTGCAGTTATTGCTTGTCACAATAATTTACAGGCGATTCCCTCCATGCTCACCGTGGGTATACTTTTGCAACAAAAGACAGAGATAATAACGGGAACTGTTCGCAGACATTCAAGGGAGCTTGGTGGTATTATTCTTGTCATTCATCCAATTTGAACGGTCAGTATCTCCTCGGACACCATGAAACATACGCTGATGGCGTCAATTGGTATGGTTTTAGAGGAACACACCATTCCTTGAAGACCACCGAGATGAAGATCCGCCCTGTTGACTTTTAGTTGAGCTCTGGTGTCTGTCTGTTTCAAATCAATACAGCGGGCAAAATTTGGTCATAATATTAACACAAAACAATTAACAGGGTTTCAATTCGGATTTAACCTGTTATTGCCTACTTTGTCCAAGGTGAATCGAGTATATTGTGATTCAAAGGAAAACATGTTATTATGAATGAAAATGTTAGCCCTTTCGCCTCACCATTACTGCCGTTGCTGTTGCTGTGTCATTTCAGAGATTATATGTAAAATTATAGAACATTTACCAAACTGATCAGTATAAATAAAATACGGGTCAAGTTCAGTTATTTTTCTTGAAGTATGCAGTTTTTGTGTACTTTCAAATTTCACAGAAATGGTGTGTTCTTTTAGTGTAGGACTTGGAACTCTCATGGGCATTAGCAGTATGCTAGTAACAGTTTATGAATATCCTCAATACCTTAAGTATATTTTAAAAAAACTGGTGGTGAGTAAGTTGTAAAGCATTATGTGAGTTTGAAAGGCAGCCTGATTATATTTTTTTCTTGAAGTTATGCATCTTTTCTGAACTTTTTTTTCACAAATTGGCATGTTCAATACGTGACTTTGAAATCCCGTGGACGGAAGCTCTGTGCTATATTAACATTTTCTGAATGTCCATGATACCTGTTGTACATAATGAAAAATAAGTGGTGATTAATTTTCACATACACCAATACAACTTTTACTATTGCTTTCATTTAAGTGCCTGAGAGATCACCACCACACGGTGACTCAGCTTAGTACTAAAATATTTTGTCATAATTCTGCTGTTAAACATTTTATATTGACGATTGCCCCATTTTGTGCACTATCAGCAGAATTTTTCTTCTTTATTTTTTGTGTAATGCATTTTTTTTAATCAGTTGTACTCAATGGCATTTTTAATGTATAACTTTTATCTCTGAAAGGCTCAAGGCCCTCTGCTGTTACTTATTCTAAATTTCCATGTTACCCTTGGTGCAAAGTTAAGCATCATGTAATTGACAAACTAATTTGTGCGTTTTTTTATTATTATTTATTTCTGTACAATTGACAGCTTTGCTGCCTTGTTATACAACATGCTCGTTTGTCAAATCCCTCTTGTCTGAAAGCAGGGCCGTAGCCTGAGCAAAATGCTAGGGGGAGCATTAAGCGGACACGAGGGGGCGAAGCCCCCGAGGGGGGAGGGTGTGGGGGGGGGTGTCCACCTCCCTTGGTGT